CTGATTTTTAGAATTTTCAGCTTTTCTGCTCTGGTTTCTCCCCATCTTTGTGGTTTTATCTACCTTTGGTCTTTGATGATGGTGATGTACAGATGGGGTTTTGGTGTGGATGTCCTTTCTGTTTGTTAGTTTTCCTTTTAACAGTCAGGACCCTCAGCTGCGGGTCTGTTGGAGTTTGCTGGAGGTCCTCTCCATACCCTGTTTGCCTGGGTATCACTAGCAGAGGCTGCAGAACTGCAAATATTGCAGAACAGCAAATGTTGAGGCCTGATTGTTCCTCTGGAAGCTTCGTCTCAGAGGGGCACCCAGCATATGAGGTGTCACTCGGCCTCTACTGGGAGGTGCCTCCCAGTTAGGCTACTCGGGGGTCAGGGACCCACTTGAGGAGGCAGTCTGTCCGTTCTCAGATCTCAAATTCCGTGTTAGGAGAACCATTACTCTCTTCAAAGCTGTCAGAGAGGGATGTTTACATCTGCAGAAGTTTCTGCTGCCTTTTGTTCAGCTATGCCCTGCCCCCAGAGGTGGAGTCTACAGCAGCAGGCAGGCCTCCTTGAGCTTCGGTGGGCTCCATCCAGTTCGAGCTTCCCAGCCTCTTTGTTTACCTACTCAAACCTCAGCAATGGTGGGCGCCCCTCCCTCAGCCTCGCTGCTGCCTTGCAGTTCGATCTCAGACTGCTGTGTTAGCAGTGAGCAAGGCTTTGTGGGCATGGGACCCTCCAAGCCAGGTGTGGGATATAATCTCCTGATGTGTCATTTTCTAAGACTGTTGGAAAAGCACAGTGTTAGGGTGGGAGTGACTTGATTTTCCAGGTGCTGTCTGTCACAGCTTCCCTTGGCTAGGAAAGGAAATTCCCTGACCCTTTGTGCTTCCTGGGTAAGGCGATACCTTGCCCTGCTTCGGCTCACTGTCAGTGGGCTGCACCTACTGTCCTGCACCCACTGTCCGACAAGCCCCAGCGAGATGAACCTGGTACCTCAGTTGGAAATGCAGAAATCACCTGTCTTCTGCATCACTTATGCTGGGAGCTGTAACTGGAGCTGTTTCTCTTTGGCCATCTTGGATTCTGCATATTTCTAGATGTTTTTACCAAAATCAATCTGGCCTGGTATATGACAACATAAAAAACTCAAGGATAGAGCCCCAGAACTCACCAACCAAGCAAGTAATTATGCTGAACCCCCTTGGGCACTCTCTAATTGGATGTCCTGGGTCCTCCCAATTCTTAGTCCTTTAATACCTGTTTTTCTCCTTCTCTTATTCGGACCTTGTGTCTTCCATTTAGTTTCTCAATTCATACAAAACCATATCCATGCCACCACCAATCATTCTATATGACAAATGCTCCTTCTAACAACCCCACAATATCACCCCTTACCACAAAATCTTCTTTCAGCTTAATCTCTCCCACTCTAGGTTCCCATGCCGCCCCTAATCCCACTCAAAACATTGCCCATTATCTCTCCATACCAGACCCCAAAATTTTCACTGCCCTAACAGTTCACCACTATCTTCTTTTGTTTTTCTTATTAATTTAAGAAGATAGGGATGTCAGGCCTCTGAGCCCAAGGCTGCAGGTATACATCCAGATGGCCTGAGGCAATTGCAGAACCACAAAAGAAGTGAAAATGGCCAGTTCCTGCCTTAACTGATGACATTACCTTGTGAAATTCCTTCTCCTGGCTCAGAAGCTCCTCAACTGAGCACCTTGTGAGCCCAGCCCCTGCCCTCAAGAGAACAACCCCCTTTGACTGTAATTTTCCACTACCCACCCAAATCCTATAAAACGGCCCCACCCCGATATCCCTTTGCTGACTCTCTTTTCAGACTCAGTCCGCCTGCACCCAGGTGATTAAAAAGCTTTATTGCTCACACAGAGACTGTTGGTGGTCTCTTCAGAGGGACATGCATGATAGGCCTCAACAATGCTGTTATTTAAAAGCTGAAGGATGAGTAGTTGTACTGCTCTTTTTTTTTTTTTTTTTTTGAACTTTTCTCTCAAACTATCCACCTTCTAAGGGGGGTTTAACACCTGCGAGGGCTACCCTGGGGGTATGGCACGTAGGAAGAGTCACATTTACAAAGGGCCACAGTCAGCTTCTGGTACTGTTGCCTAATGATGTTATGCAGGTATTCGCTGGAATTTTATGTGTGTTAGGAGAGTTATTGCATCAAACATAAAGTCTTCAAACATTATGCCATCTATTTAACCTTCCTTGCCATTAATTAACTTTTGTTTTTAAAATCGGGAAGGCTCAAGAAATAGGAGTGGTCAGGGCCTGACCCCAGCCTTCAGAGGGCTTGAAACTCCCAAACAGATCTTGACCTGTTGGTTTTTCTGCAGTGCCGGGTTAGCTGCACAGTGTGATGCAGTTAGATGCTCCTTTGTTCTTTTACCACTTTCTGGTAAAAGATACTGAGCCTAGATTCCAAGTTAGGATTGGCAACCCAGCGTTCCTCTCCCCTCCGAGGTCATCCAGCCCAGTGCAGGGCCACTTGTCCTGGAGATACGGATTATTCTCATCTTCACAGGAGTCCCAACTCCTGTGTGGTAACTCTGTTATGAACTGAATGTTTGTGTCACCCTAAAATTCATGTGCTGAAATCCTAAACCCAGATGTGATGGAATCATGAAGTGTAGGCCTCCGGGGGATTATTAGGTCATAAGGGTAGAGACCCCATTGAATGGGATTTGTATTATGAAAGGAAAGTATCTTGGGTCCCCAAAATCACTAAGGAAAACTCAAGCTGGAAACTGCTTAAGGCAAACGTGCCTCCCATTCTATTCAAAGTCACTCCTCTGCTCACTGAGATAGATGCATATCTGATTTGCCTCCTTTGGAAAGGCTAAGCAGAAACTCAAAAGAATGTAAGTTTGTGTATTGCCTATCTGTGACCTGGAAGCTCCCTCCCTGCTTTGAGCCTACCTGCCTTTGCTTCAAGTTGTCCCGCCTTTTCAGACGGAACCAATGTACTTCTTACATATATTGATTGATGTCTCATGTCTCCCTAAATGTATAAAACCAAGCTGTGCCCTGATCACCTTGGGCACTTATCGTCTGGACTTCCTGAGGCTGTGTCTCGGGCGCATCTCCAATCTTGGCAAAATAAACTTTCTAAATTAACTGAGACTTGTCTCCGATTTCCTGGGTTCACAGTACTTTTAGGAAAGAGACCCCAGAGAGCTCTCTAGCCTTCTTCCCACCATGAGAGAACACTGGAAAAAAACAGCCATCTATGAAGCAGCCGTCTGCAGACACTGAATCCTCCAGTGCCTTCATCTTGGACTTCTCAGCCTGCAGAACTGTAGGGAATAAATGTTTGCTATTTAAGCCACTCACTTTATTGTATTCTATTCTAGCAGCCCAAACTGACTAAGACACTGTCAAAAACAAATTATAAACTCACCTGGTTCTTTCTTCTTCTTTTTTTTCCTTTAATAGACTTTCCAAAATTAGCTCTGCCCAGTGACAAGGCTATATTAATAGTCTTTATTAGCCTATATCAGATAACAGAGACAGTCTGATGAATTTTCTTTCTTTCTCTCTTTCTTTTTTTTTCGAGATAGAGTTTTGCTCTTGTGGCCCAGGCTGGAGTGCAATGGTGCAGTCTTGGCTCACTGCAACCTCCACTTCCTGGGTTCAAGCGATTCTCCTGACTCAACCTCCTGAGTCACTGGGATTATAGGTACCTGCCACTATACCCAGCTAATTTTTTTTGGTATTTTTTTTTAGTAGAGACGGGGTTTCACCATGTTGGCCAGGCTGGTCTTGAACTCCTGTCCTCAGGTTATCTGCCTGCTTCGGCCTCCCAAAGTGCTGGGATTACAGGCTTGAGCCACCGCACCTGGCCAGTCTGATGAATTTTCTTACTTTACATTTTCATTTGACATTTCGGATCATGAGAATTTGTAATTTTCTAATTCAATGAGATTTCACGGAGGAGTTATAAGGGTAATTTCCAGGACAGAAAAAGACTGCAGAAAAACAGATTAATATTGAAGAAGAGAAAGCCAAAGGATCACGAGCTTCATTATAAGGGCCAGTTGCCCTCCCCCAAACTCATGGTAGGGAAAAACATGAAACGGACTAAAGCAGAACAACACAAATTTAGATTAGCCTCCACAAGGAACTTCCCAAAGACTGTGTTCATGACCACGCAAGGATAGTCTTGCGTTGTCTCTTTAGAATTTCAAAATGGTAAAGCTGGGGTGGAATTTAGGATCCTGTGAGCGAAAAGTTCTCATTTTGCAGAAGAGGATTCTGAGAACCAGGCATTAGTGGAAGTGTCCGGGATACACTCCGGGTCCCTAATGCTTAGCTGCCCATCTTTAATACTTAGATAGCTTCTCATATAGTCTAATCCAGTTCAGAGGTTATAGAGTTGTTGATTTCTTAAAATTCCTTCCAGATTACACAGTTGCTGATTCTAAGTAAAAATCAGAGGATGGAAGTCTGTGAGCTGAATTGATCAGATGCCACAGGCTGTTCATTGCAGAAATATTCCCAAACCAGCGGAGGCCCCATTACTCTTTTTTTTTGAAACGTTGAACATGTCAAAGATGAATTCCTCTGATGGCCGTGGCAAAGCCATTTGGTGTTTGGTTTACATGAAGTCACAAGACATTGAGTGTTCTTTTTTCTCCACTTGAGTTTTTCTGTTTGGTCCAACTATTTAGTAGTGGAACACACAGCTCATGAAAGGAGGAAGTGATTTAGAAGATGAAGGAAGTGGAAGGAACAGTTGAAACGACTAAAAAAAAAAAAATACCTTTTTTTCTCTTTTTCTTCCCTGAAGTAGTTTTCACTGCTACAGCTTCAGACGATTTTGTAATCTGGTTCAAAGTTGAACTTCCTCTCTGTTTGGCTGGTCGAGAAAAAAAGACTTTTTAAAAAGCAGCCTGTTGAAAGTGAAATGAATGGGTTTCTGACACAACTTGATGTTGGTTATGGCCTTTATTTTATGTTCACTTTAGGCAGAGATATTTCTCACAAAAGGGAATGATCTGACCTCTTGTCAAGATCACATTCACTTCAGTCCTGTGGTTTTTTTTTTTTTTCATTTTGAGACCGGCAGCTCTCCGCCCCTGCCACACCAGGCCCTCGGCGGTGCACTACGCGGCCATCCCCCCCCCCCACCGTCTGGCCTCACTGCACCCTCCGCCTCCCGGGTTCAAGTGATCCTCCCACCTTAACCTCCCGAGTAGCTGGAATTACAGATGTGCCACCCACCCCACGGCTAATTTTTGTATTTTTAGTAGAGACAGGGTTTCATCATGGTTGGCCAGGCTGTGCTCAAACTCCTGACCTCAAGTGATCTGCCTGCCTCAGCCTCCCAAAGAGCTGAGATTACAGGTGTGAGCCACTTGCACCCAGCTGGGTCCTGTGGTTTTTGTGTTTCTTTCCTTAAAGTCTCAGGGTGAACAGGCAACCAATTAGAAGCCCCAGAACCATCCCTGCCAGCCTCCTGTTTGCTATTCTTTACATTCAAAGCTGCCATCTATATAAAGTGACTCCAAAGCCCTGGCATTAGTAAGAATGTAGCAGGAGGAACACTTTTTTGGCATGTTTAAAGCAACATATTAGAACATATCACTCTGGAGTCATTCTGGACTCTTCCTTTCTCTTGTACCTACATCCAATTCGTATGGAAGTGGATAATGCAGAGTCCTGATTGCTTCTCGCTGACCTTCCTTGCTATTGCCCTTCACTCCACCTGGGTAGACAGCTCTCTCCTAGAGGACAGGCCACCCAACAGGCCTCCCTGCCCACCCGCACCATTTCCTGCCCACAAGAAGAAAAGGGAATAATGTAAAAATGAGACATTTTACTTACATTTCCAATTCTACTTACTCTCGCAAATCTTGTATTAAAAAGTATTTTAGGCTAGGGCATCGGTGGCCTCAAGCCTGTGATCCTAGCACTTTGGGGAGCCAAGACAGGTGGATTATTTGAGGTTAGGAGTTCGAGAATAGCCCTGGTCAACATGGTGAAAGCCCATCCTCTACGTAAAAAAATATAAAAATTAGCCGGGCATGGTGCTCAGCTGAAGGCCAGAGAAAGCTGACTCCCAGGAGGTGGGATTGCAGTGAGCTGGATCCCCGACTGCACTCCAGCTTGGGTGACAAGTGCAGAACTCCATCTCAAAAACCAAAAAAAAAAACAAATAAATTTTATTTATACACTGCCAGCAAGTATTAAGATTAAGAAAACAAACTTGCCATTGGTCCTAAGGCATTTGGGCCCCTTTGGTTGTCAATCAATGAAAGCCACTGTGGCTGACTCTGGCCAGAAGGAAGAGTTGACCGAGAGGCCTGGGAGTAACTCACAGAACAGGAGATCAAACCTTTGGTCCTCAAAGAGCAGTGGTCCTCAAACATTTTGTTCTCATAACAACATAGAGGACATTAAAAAGTTTATGCACTATCTGCACATTTTTAGGTTGGTTATCTAAGTTTTTCATCATCACTTCTTTTTTTTTTGATGGAGTTTTGCTCTTGTTCCCAAGGCTAGGATTGCAAGCATTGATCATTCGGCTGCCCTACCAACCTCTGGCCTCCTCAGGTTCGAAGTGATTCTCCTGACCGCAGCGTCCCCAAGTAGCCTTGGATGACATTACAGAGATGAGCCACCAGCCCAGCTAATTTATATTTTTAGTAGAGATGGGGGTTCTCCAATGTTGGTCCAGGCCGGCTTTTTTTTTTTTTGAGGTTTTTTTGGTTTTTTTGAACTCCTGACTCTCAGGTGATCTGCCCACGTCAAGCCTCCAAAGTCTGGGATTACAAGGCCATAAACCACCGGCCAGCCCATCATCACTTTTAACTTTCAAAGAGATTTTTAGAATATGACATATAGTGATTTAAAAATAAAATCTGTTATATCCATTCCCTTAAGTGTATCAAGTGGAATATAAAACCAAACATTTGATACTCACCATCACTCACCAGAATATCGCAACCAACAGAAAACATGAGCAAACTTGTCATTTAGCAATTGACATTTTTACATTATTCCCTTTTCTTCTTGTGTTTTGGCTTATATTTCCATTCTATTTATTCCTTAAATCTGTAAAATGTGCATTAAGAAGTATTTTAATAAGCCAGGCGCAGTGGCTTACGCCTGTAATCTCAGCACTTTGGGAGGCCAAAGCAGGGCAGATCACGAGGTCAGGAGATCAGACCATCCTGGCTAACACAGTGAACTGTTCTTACTAAAAAAACAAAAATTAGGCCAGGTGGTGGTGGCGGGTTGCCTAGTACCAGCTACTCGGGAGGCTGAGGCAGGAGAATGGGCATGACCTGGGAGTGGAGCTTAGCAGAGCGAGATGCGCCACTGCACTCCCTGTGCAACAACGCGAGACCCCGTCCCAAAAAAAAAAAAAAAAAAAGTATGTTATAGCTAATCCTGTTATACTCTTCTGTAATAAAAATGTTACATGTACAAATACTCAAATTTAAAAATTTATTGGGATCAGGCTGGGCACAGTGGCTCACACCTGTAATCCCAACTTTGGGAGGCTGAGATGGGTGGATCGCGGCCGTCCAGTAGTTTGAGACCAGACCAACCAGCGTAGAGAAACCCCGTCTCTACTAAAAATACAAAAATTAGCTGGATATGGTGGTGGCCTGCACAGATAATCTCAGCTACTCCAGAGGCCGAGGCAGGAGAATTGCTTGAACCTGGGAGGTGGAGGTTGTGGTAAGCCAAGATCGCACCACTGCACACCAGCCTGGGTGACAGAGTGAGACTCTGTCTCAAAAAAAAAAAGTTTCTTCTCCAGTTATTCATCAATTTTTAGAAGTACATAATTGATTCTAATTACATAGAAAAATAAATTTTTTGAATGTATTGCTCAGTGAGATGGATGGTGCACTTTTATTTGTTTTTATAATTAATTCATGTATTCATTGAATATTACTGCTAGCATGAGGCAGAGTTCAGCATCAATTCTATTTCCATTTTTCATTGTATAGTTGAAGTACTGAGAAACCTTGTTCACACGTGATGGGAATGGAATAGGATTGCCAGATTTAGCCTCTCTTTCCCATCTACTCCTCACCCCACTAATATGTGGCTGTTGGCTGAAGTTAAATGTCAGCTATGGAAAGCCATTTACAGAGGAGTAAGCAGTTGTTGTTCTTGTCTGTCCTGCATTTGTCCTCCCATCTGTCTACTCTTTGAGGGACTGCCAATTCCTCCCGGCAAATCCAGTGGTGCTGGCAAGGCTGCCGGTCACAGGGCTCTACCCTCCCAGGATGGGCGTGGGGTGCATCCTGGCCAATCACAGTTCGCCCTGACCTGAGATTGGGCCAAGAGGTAGGTATGTGACCCAAGGAGGGCCAATCAGAATCTCCGTATGGGATTTGACACATAGTCATTGGAAGAAAGATGCTTTCACTTTCTGTTTGATTATAGTCATGATGATGTAGCCCCGGGACTGTTGGCAGGCAGAGCGGCTGTCTTTTCCTGCTTGGAGAAAGCCTGGCTGCAACCGGAGGGAGAAAGGTCAACCCTTGGAAGGGAAGTAGAGTCAAGAGCAGCAAAATCTGGGTCTCCTGATGAGGTGGTTTGAGCCCCTGAATTCGGTCATCTCTGAAGACAGCTGTACCCATGGATGTCCCAGTTATGTGAGCCTATAAACCCATACTGGTTTTTAATCTTGTTTGGGTTGCTTTCACTTTTAACCTAAATAATCTGATTAACAAACTATGGTAGTTTTCTATTGCTACTGTTGCAAATGACCACACACTTTGTGCCTTAAAACAATATAAATTTCTGATCTTATAGTTCTGGAGGTCTGAACTCTGAAATAGGTCTTAAAGGTGAAAGTCAAGGTGTCAGCAGAGCTGTATTCCTTTAAAGGCCCTGGGGAAAATTAGTTTACTTGTCTTTTCCACCTTGTAGAGGCCGCCTACGTTCCCTGGCTCCTGGCTCCTTCCTCACATCACTCTAACCTCTGCTTCCACGGTCACATCTTCTCTGACTCTCCTGCCTCCCTCCTATAAAGATCCTGGTGATTACACTGGACCCACGGGGATGATCCAAGATGACCTCCCTATCTCATCTTTAACTTATACAGGCAGAGTTGCTTTTGCCATGTGAGGCGACATAGTCACAGGTTCTGAAGATTAGGGCAAAGACATCTTTGGGAGCCATTAATTTGTCTCCCGCACATATTCAAGAAGAATCATACTTGACCACTGAGAAGGTCACTTTTAATCACAGAGCGAAGCGTCCTCCTTTTAGGTGGCCCCAACAGGATTTCAGTGCCAGGTTCCCCAGCACTTACCTTGGAGCCGCTGAGGGGGATTTCCAGCGTCTGGTGAGCCTGGGGTCAGCCGGTCTTTCCCCTGTGTCTCCGCAGAGTCTGCTATGGGCCTGAGAAGAGCCAGTGCTCCAGAACATTCCAAGTAATTGCCTTCAAGGTACAGCTTGCTGGGGAAGGGAGCAGAATACATTGTCTATTTTATGTTAGTTCTACTTCCTCAAATTTGGATTTAAAGTTTTCATCTGATGAAATAAAATACCTAGTCATAAAATAATAAAGAAATAATCATAATAATTAATTAATTAATAATAGGCCATGTCATAAAAAATAGACCTAGTGACTATGTCAGCTGGCCAAGCACATATATTCAGTATGACACCACTAATTTTCAAACTTAACTAAAGGACCTTCTCTTATGGTTAAGAAAAGGCAAGCAAAAATAACAAGAATGGAGAAAATATGATTAGAATTATAATAGATCGTATAAATCAAGACAGAATAAAGCCAAGATAAGAAGGGGGCAGCGGGGGACATGTCTCACCAAATGGCACTCTGGCTGATGACCAAACCCAGTCTTAGCCCGCTCTGAGGTCCCAGACCACAATAACGCAGACTGAGGCCTTGAAGCCTTTGGTTGTTCTCCAGGCCTGAGAAAATGCTCTCAAGTTCTTCCTTTCCAAATCTACAAAGAAATGACAGAGCCAACTTAAATAACAGAGAGGCCGTCTAAAACAAACCTGTTTATTCAGAACCGGAATTGCAATGGGAATGGGAATACACAGGCCATGGTAAACTATGCGCATATTCAGGGAGGCAGAGGAAGACAAAGGTCTTTCAATGAAAAGTGAGGAGGATTACATCATTGTTTTCAGATAATTATCCTTGACTACAAGGATCAATAACAAGGGTGGCACCAGACTGAGGTTGGACAGTGGCTGGGTAGATGTCCTCATAGAAGTATTTTTTTGTGTAAGGTTATGATGGCCTTGTGCAAGGCTGTGGTTGTTGCAGGGTCTTTTGTGATAGTTCTTGTTATCAGGCATTTATGCATGAGAGCCCTTCTTTCATGGCCTTCCCTGGCTCTATTTGTCAGGTTTTCTTGTTGTTCAACCCAAGTGACTCCATTTTAATCTGACAATTTTCACAATAGAAACAAATTAGTGACTTTTTTTTTCTTTTTCTTTTTTTTTTTTTTTTTGAGATAGAGTCTTGCTCAGAAATTCACCAAGGATTACAGGCACACGCCACCACGCCTGGCTAATTTTTGTATTTTTAGTAGAGACAGGGTTTCACTATGTTGGTCAGGCTGGTCTCGAACTCCTGACCTCAGCTGATCTGCCCACCACGGCCTCCCAATGTGCTGGGATTACAGTCATGAGCCACCATGCCCGGCCAAATTAGTGACTTTTAAAACCTGTGCCACTCACTGGATTATTAATTGTAAAGCCCTTTCCAGGGTAATTAGCGACATTTCTGCTGATCCCTAATTTGAGCGCCTTCTGGGTAAAGGGAGCAGAAGGTGGTTGGGACTACCCAATCCAGGCAGCGGGTGAAGAACAAGCTCTAAACCCCAGAGAGAAGAGCTACAGGGAAGGGCAGAGACAGGTGGAGTCCTAAAGACTCCAGCAGGGCTGTTCCCTCCTCTTGCGTTGCAGGCTTTACTTTGCAAAGTGAAATCTTGTGCCTTGTCCACAGCCTCTGGGGGTAGGTAGTGGTAAAAGCCATGGGTCAAGAAACTGAGGCTTGGTGAGGGAAAGCAACATCTTTAAGGAATTTGGAATGTCAAAGCTTGAACCTTAAAATGAGGTGGGTAAGATGAACAGAAATAACTTTTAACATGTATCAATTCATGAACAAGTAATTACTGAGGGCCTTCCCTGAGCCACCTACCAAGGTGGGCGTGGGGATGCAGCTTGTGTGAGAAAGGACTGTCTGATGGACCTCATAGCCTCTCAGTGGAGATGGCGAGGAGAGAACTGCAACCCCCAGAGGCCAGTATCCTGCAATGTTACCAGTGTGAAGGTCTCGGGTGGTGATTCCCAGCTAGGCAACCCTGACAACATAGGTGTTCTGGCGTCAGCGGAGGTGTGTCATCTGACTATTACCACAAGCTGTCTCCTGAACAAGAGCATTCCGTCTTTCTTCTTTCTCTCTTCCCACCAGTGCAGGTCTCTGGGTGCCCCTCCCAGGAGCTGGGGCCTGGAGGGGTCTCTTAGCAGTGGGTCTGGTGCTGCCCAATAGAGTGCGGGAAGCTGGGGGACTCGTAAGCAGATCCTGCAGTCACTGCATGGTGTCCTGTGTGCTTTGGGCTTCTACTGCCCCCCGTTACAAGATGTTCCTGATGTTCCTCCCAGCATTTCAGAAACCCTGAGAACCTCCACAGAGAACACTCTCTCCCCAGCTTTTACCACCAGGGCCCTGACCGGATCCCAGTTCTGCATCTCTGGGCTACCACTTCTCAGGCTCGAATCTCCTCTCTCCTCACAGCCTACTGGCCTTTTGAGTTTAAGGCCCCACTCAATTGCATGGGAAGAGTCACAGACTCCTGGAGTGGGGGAGATCATTTCATTACAGACCAGAAAGGTTCTGTGACTTACTCCAGATCATACACACAGTTTGAAGTTGTTCGTGGACGGCAACTTACAGACCCCAGGGAATCTAGTGTCATGGATCAGAGGTGGTCTCTGATTCAGACAACCTGGATCCATATCAAGGTTCCATCCCCGGGGGGCTGAATAGCCTTGAACAAGTCTGTGGACCTCCTCCACAGTCTAGGGATAGTAATGGTGCATAGCTCATGAGGTTGTTGGGAGGATAAATGAGCTCATTCCTGCATCGTGTTTGGCACACAATAAACACTTATTAACCATTAGCTGGGAGTATTATTATTATTCTCATCTTGTGGACACTCCCCTAACATGCTTGGTACTCCAGCTCTGAAGGACTTGCTCCACTGCTCCCTAACACCACACCTTTCCCTCCCTCTTTCCCTCCCTCCCTCCGTCCCTCCCTTCTTTCCTTCCTTCCTTCCTTCCTTCCTTCCTTCCTTCCTTCCTTCCTTCCTTCCCTCCTTCCCTCTTTCCCTCCTTCCTTCCTCTTTCTGTCTTTCTTCTGTTTTCTTTTTGAGACAGAGTCTTGCTCTGTCACTCAGGCTGGAATGCAGTGATAGGATCTCGGCTCACCACAGCTTTCATCCCCCACCTCAGCTCAAGTGATCCTCCCATCTCAGCCTCTCAGAATGCTGGGATTACGGGTGAGGGCCACTGTGCCCAGCCCACCACAGTTTTCTTTCTACCTCCTCATCTGATGAATATTGACCCATCACCTAGGGAATTGTGGTTTCCCTTGTCCAAACTACCAAAATAATATACATGGCATCTTTTGTGGTCTTCAGATTTTCTACCTTGCATTAAGAGCATCTCTTCTCTACTGTACCAAGGACACCTTGGAACAGCAGCATCGCCTTCTATATTTGTATCTTTCTTAGCACTGAGCACAATATCTTGCTTAAACTAGCCTTCAACAAATATTTGTAGAAAGAATAAACAAATGAAAGTGACTCTTCTTGAGAACTCTAATATTTACTCAGAAACATTAACTCTAAGAAGGTTTTAGAGGGTCCTCTTCAGCCATGCCTTGATAAGGTGCAAGGAAACTGGACATGCAACCCCCTCAACCCTCCCCATCTTTGCTTCCCTCAGCTGACAGCAGTAAGAGCCCTGCAGGAATTCCAGCCTTACTTGCAGTAATCGAGGACAAGAGAACGCAAACTACTGAACCGCAGAGCCTTCCCAAGTCGCTCTAGAGACCACAGATCCATTTTGCAATCAATGATTTCTAGGGTGGTAAACGGGCAGGTGGTGTGCTCCTTTGATTCCAGAAGCAAAGCCTAAGAATGCAAGATATAAGAAATGCTTACATAATGATGACAACTATGCTCTGTGCTTTAAAATGTTGCTTACAAGTCCATCATGTTAATTACCTCAACATTTTCGCCCCAAGATACCTTTCTAATTATCTGAGGAAAAGGTGGCATGAAAATAAAATACTTTCCCTTTAAAACAAAGAGTCATTGAAGAATTACAAGGGAAACATCAAGCTTTATAAAGAGATAAGATATATTGCAGATTATTATTTTAGATGTTGTTATGGGCTAAATTGTGCCCCCCACCCAAATTCTTTTTTTTTTTTTTTTTTTTGAGACTGAGTCTCGCTCTGTCGCCCAGGCTGGAGTGCAGTGGCAGCTCACTGCAAGCTCTGCCTCCCGGGTTTACGCCATTCTCCTGCCTCAGCCTCCCAAGTAGCTGGGACTACAGGCGCCCGCCACCTCGCCCGGCTAGTTTTTTGCATTTTTTTAGTGGAGACGGGATTTCACCATGTTAGCCAGGATGGTCTCGATCTCCTGACCTCGTGATCCGCCCGTCTTGGCCTCCCAAACTGCTGGGATTACAGGCTCGAGCCACCGCGCCCGGCCAACCCCCCACCCAAATTCTTATCTGGGAATCCTAACCCCCAGTTCCTCCGAATGTGACTGTATTTGGAGATAGGGTATTTAAAGAGGTAATTAAGTTAAAATGAGGTCATTAGAGTAAGCCTTAACCCAGTATGACTGGTGTCCTTATAAGAAGAGTAAGCTTGGACACTCATGTACAGAGGGAAGACCAGGGAAGACACAGGAAGAAGGTGGCCATCTGCAAGCCAATGAGAGAGACCTCAGAAGAAACCAACCCTGTCAAGTTTTTTTTTTTTCTTTTGAGACAGGGTCTCCCTCTGTCACCCAGCCTGGGGTACAGTGGTGCTATCACAGCTCACTGCAGCCTTGACTTCCTGGGGTCAAGCGATCCTCCTGCCTCAGCCTCCTGAGTAGCTGGGACTACAGGTGTGTGCCACCATGCCCGGCTAATTTTTGTTTTTTGTAGAGACAGGAGTCTCGCTTTGTTGCCCACACTGGTCTTGAACTCCTGGGCTCAAATGATCCCCTCCCCTTCAAAATGCTGGGATTACCGGCGTGGCCTGCTGCACCTGGCCCAACCCTGTCAACTTGATACGACTAGCCTCCAGGGCTGTGAGAAAATAAATTTCTGCTCGTTAATCCACCCAGTCTGTGGTACTTTATTATGGCAGCCTGAGGAGACAGGTCACCTTTTTGCAATTAGAGCCATCACAACCTGAGGATCCCTTCAGTTCATAATTTCAGCCTAGAAGAGGCTTTGGTGGAGTTTGGAGAATTCAGTTTTTTGAGGTAATGACATGGTCAGATATAGGATTCCAAATTATACCTTGGCAGAGATTAAAAAGGCACTTGCAACCTTAACTACAGAGCTGGTGCCCAAGGCCTCTTTAATGAGAGGTGCCTCGTTTGAGTGCTGGATTGGATGCCGCAAGCCGTGTTTCTGACAGAGGAGCCAATGTGGCATGTCAGTGCCTATGTTAACATCGGTCTGTGCTAAATAGGCTATTGAATGTGTCCTAAAGCTCCTAATCCGAGGTTTGTGCGTCACTCCTTCGGCACTAGTACTGCCGTGGGCAAGGACCATGCTATCCAAGATAGAATTCCTCAGCAGCCCCCAGATTAAATTCACTTCATTTAAGGAAATATTAAGGATCACTTTTAACATGCATGGACAGCATCTTATTTCCAGCTTGAGTGGACTGGGTACCCCGACTGACGCTCTGAATAAAAGCAACTAAAATTGCAGGATACATATTTAAAGTAACTTAAAAAATGTATTTCTTTTCTCTTTTTTTTTTTTTTTTTTGAGACGGAGTCTTGCTCTGTCGCCCAGGCTGGAGTGCAGTGGCCAGATCTCGGCTCACTGCAAGCTCCGCCTCCCGAGTTTACGCCATTCTCCTGCCTCAGCCTCCCAAGTAGCGGGGACTACAGGCGCCCGCCACCTCGCCCAGCTAGTTTCTTTTGTATTTTTTAGTAGAGACGGGGTTTCGCCGTGTTAGCCAGGATGGTCTCGATCTCCTGACCTCGTGATCCGCCCGTCTCGGGCTCCCAAAGTGCTAGGATTACAGGCTTGAGCCACCACTCCCGGCAGTCATTTTTAAGTATACAGTTCAGTGGCATGAAGCATTCACATTGTCGTGCAATCCTAACCACCATCCATCTCCAGAACTCTTTCCATCTTACAAAACTGAAACTCTACTTATTAAATAATAACTCCCTATTCTCCTCTTTCAGCAGACCCTGGTAACCACCATTCTATTTTCTCTCTCTATAAATCTGACTACTCTAGGTCCATCATGTAAGTAGAGTTCTACAGTATTTGTCATTTTGTGACTGGCTTATTCACTTAGCACAATGTCCTCAAGGTTCATCTCATGCTGCAACATGTGTCAGAGTTTCCTTCCTTTTGAAGGCTGAATAATATTCCATTGTCTCTATACACCACGTTTTGTTTATTCATTCATCTGGGGTTGCTTCCACCTTTTGGCTATCATGAATAATGGAGCTGTCAATATGGGTATAGAAATCTCTCTTTGAGATCCTGCTTTTAATTATTTGGGGTATATATTCACAAGTGGTATTGCTGGATTATATGGTCATTCTATTTTTAATTTTTTGAGGAACCATCATACTGTTTTCCATACTGGCTACACCATTTGACATTGCCACGAACAGTGCACAAGGTTCCAACTTTTCCGCATCCTTGCCAACACTTGGTTTTTTTTGTTGATAGTGAGGTTGGCATGTCATTGTGCTTTTGATTTGCATTTCCTTAGTGATTAGTGATGTTGAACATCTTTTCATGCATGTATTGGCCATTTGTATATCTTCTTTGATGCATGTCTATTTAAATTCCTTGCCTATTTTAAATCAGGTTGTGGCCAGGCATGGTGGCTCACACCTGTAATCCCAGCACTTTGGGAGGCCAAAGCAGGTGGACTGCTCAAGGTCAGGAGTTCGAGACCAGCCTGGCCAACGTGGTAAAACCATGTCTGTACTAAAAATATTTTTAAAAAATTAGCCCGGCATGGTGGTGCGCACCTGTAGTCTCAACTACTTGGGAGACTGAGGCACAAGTATCACTTGAACCTGAGAGGCGGAGGTTGCAGTGAGCTGAGATGGGTCACACCATTGCACTCCAGCCTGGGTGACAGAGAGACACCATCTCAAAAAAAAAAAAAAAAAATCAGGTTGCTTGCTGTTTTGCTGTTGAGTTGTAACAGTTTTTTTTTCTTTTTTCCTTTTTTTTTTTTTTTTTCATGACAAGGTTTCACTCTGTCACCCAGGCTGGAGTGCAATGGTGTGATCTCGGCTCACTGCAACCTCCACCTCCCGTGCTCAGGCAATCCTCCCGCCTCAGCCTCCTGAGAGGTGCATGCCAGCATGCCAGGCTAATTTTTTTGTAGAGATAGGATTTCACCACGTTGCCAGGCTGGTCTTGAACTCTTGGACTCAAACAGTCTGCTTGCCTCAGCCTCCTGAAGTGCTGGGATTACAGACATGAGCCACCACACCCAGCCAAGTTATAGCAGCTTTTTTTTTTTTACATATAGATTCTAGATGTTAACACTTTATCAGATATATAACTTGCAATTATTTTTCCCATTGCATAAGTTTGCCTCTTCACTTCATTGATTATGTCCTTTGGTGCATGGAAATTTTACATTTTGATGTAGTCCAATTTATCTACTTTTTCTTTTGTTTGCCTGTGCCTATGGTGTCATTTCCAAGAAATAATTGCCAAATCCAATGCGATGAAGCTTTTCCTGTATGTTTTCTTCTAAAGATTAAAAAAAAAATCTCTTTTTAAAGTGTGTTGATTGGCTGGCAGTTTAGCCAGGAATACCCAAAGGTCAACGAATGCGAGAAAGTGGGAGCCCAGTGAGGTATGCAGAGCATTGACATCAGCTTTTCCTTTGAGAGCATCACTAAAACAGTAGTTGGTTTTCATGGATCGTGGAGTCCAGGGAATAGGAGATAAAGTCATAGCCACTGGAGACAAGGAGTCCAGCAGAAAATGCTGCATGAAGTTATGACCCCAAATACAAAGTGGGCCATAGTTTTATTCTCTTCGAGTAAGGATAACTAGAAATAAAAACCTAATCTCCTTTTTCCCAAAGGACTTTAGGGAAAATTGCCTATCTCAGACTGATAAATATAAGGAAAAAATATATCCCCTGAGAACTCACAAACTAGTTCTAATACAGTTTTGGACCCTGCGTTAATTAACCATCTGGATGGTTCAAATAAATCACAGGTCAAGAATTTAATTTAATGTAACCCTGGGATGGTAGCACCCAGAGTGAATGGCAGACACAAATTCAAGCCCTGAAGAGGAAGCTCTCTTCAAACCAGAGCTTAGGAAATTGCCACAACCATTTTCCCAGGAAATATGAGTTAATAGTAAAAAAGAAATCACAAAACACACAAATTGGTGTCACCATGAGTAAGAGCCAGTAGGAGCAAGAGATCACAGTATCAACCCCAAATAATTCAGATTATTGAAACTATTAGACAGAATACAAAATAACTTTAGCACATTTCAAAGAAATAAAATAAGGGATTTTTTTTTAAAGTAAGAGACTAGAAAATGACTACTAGTGTCCTTTCCTATTCTCTACTTCCTCCTTCTTCCCTAAACATAATTTTGTGATAATCAAACATTATAGTTGTACCTGTTTTTTGAACTTTACATAAATGCAAGCATACAGTATTCATTCTTTTGTATCTCTCATTATTTGTACGACATTATGTTTGTGAGAGTCATCATATTTTATTTTTGTATAGCTACAGTTAGTTCATTTTCATTGCTACCTAGTGTTCCACTATATGAATATGCCACAATTTATTTATTTATTCTATTGTTGATGGAAATTTGGGTTGTTTCCAGTTCTTGATTTCCATGAACATTTTTCTATAAATCTCCTGGTGCCCATGTACATACATTCATGTTGGATATATACTGAGAGTGGAACTGCTGGATCACAGACTTTGCAATCAGTAGATATTGCAGTACAGTTTTCCAAGGTGACTGTGTGAATATACACTCCCACCACAGTGTATAAAAATTCCAGTTGCTCCAATTCCTCACCAACACATGATGATGTATTTGTATTTTCACTATTTCAGTGGCTGTGTATTGGTATATCTTCATGTTTTTTATTTGAATTCTACTCATTCCTAATGAGGTTGAGCACCTCTTAATATTTTTATTGGCTATTTGATGGGTTTTTTTGTGTGTGTGTGTGTGTGTGTTAAGTGCCTATTCAAGTTTCTTGACCACATTTCTATTGGATAATTTGTGTTTTTCTTAATGATGTGTGGGAGTTATATATACATACTGCCTAAGAATCCTTTTTGATTATATATGTAGCAAATATCTTTTCCAGTTCTGTGGCTTGCCTTTTCACTCTCTGAATGGTGATTCTTGATGAACGAAAGTTGTTAGTTTTAATGGAGTCTAACTTAATCAATCTTTTCTTTTATGATTAGTGCTCTTTGTGTACTTTTTTTTTTTTTTTTTTTTAGTTTTTTTTTTTTTTTTTTTTTTTTTGAGACAGAGTCTCGCTCTGTCGCCCAGGCTGGAGTGCAGTGGCGCGATCTCGGCTCACTGCAAGCTCCGCCTCCCGGGTTCACGCCATTCTCCTGCCTCAGCCTCCCAAGTAACTGGGACTACAGGCGTCTGCCACCTCGCCCAGCTAATTTTTTGCATTTTTAGTAGAGACGGGGTTTCACCATGTTAGCCAGGATGGTCTCGATCTCCTGACCTCGTGATCCGCCTGCCTCGGCCTCCCAAAGTGCTGGGATTACAGGCGTGAGCCACCGCGCCCGGCCTTTTTGTGTACTTTTAAAAAAGTGTTTCTCCACTCCAAAGTCATGATGATATTTTCTTATATTATCTTCTAGAAACTTTATTGTTTTGCCTTTCAACTCTGTAATCCACCAGCCTTGATTTGGGGGTATGTTGTGAAGTAGGGGTCAAGCTTCTTTGTCACCCACATTTATCTCCAGTGGTCTCATTAACATTGATTGAAAAGACCATCTTTTCCTCAATACCATGCATTGTCATCTTTGTCAATAATTAAATGTCCATATAGGTAAGACTTTGTTTCCAGCCTTTCTATTCTTTCCCATTGGTTTATTTATGTATACTTGTAGCAATATTACACTATCTTAATTTCTGTAGCTCTATAAGAAGTGTTTAATATCTGTTAGAGAATATTCTCTCACTGCGTTCTTTGTGTTCAAGATTGTCTTGCTTATTCTTCACCACTTATATCTCCATATAATATTAACAGTCAGTTCTTTTAAGTTCTATAAGAAAGCCATTTTCATGGCTCTTTGATTCTTCTTGCACCTCCAACCTTCCATCTGGGATCATTTTTCTTTGAAGAATGTGCTTTAGTATTTCTTTTAGGGAAGATCTGCTTGTGACAAATTCTTCCAGTTTCTGTTGGTCTGACAATGCCTTTGTTTCACTTCCATTTTTGAAAAATATTTTTGTTGGGTATAGAATTCTTAGTTGACATTTTCCCTTCAGCATTTTGAAGATATTCTATTGGTAACTGACTTCCATTGTTTCTGTTGAAAAGTCAGATACCAGTTTTATTGCAGCTCCTTTGAAGGTAATGTGTTATTTCATTGACTAATTTTAATATTTTCTCTTTATCTTTGGTCTTTAGTAGTGTTATTATGATGTTTCTAAATTGTCTTTGTGTTTAACCTTCTTGGGATTAATAACTCTATTTGGATTTGTGATTTATGTCTTTCACCAGTTAGTTAAGTATTGCTTTTGCCCCATTCTCATTCTCTTCTCCTTCTGGGACTCAATTACACATATGTTCATCATTTCACTTATCTACTATGTCTCTTTTTTTTTTTTTTGAGACAGGGTCTTGCTCTGTTGTCCAGGTTGGAGTGCAATGGTGTGGTCATGGCTCACTGTAGCCTCCACCGCCTGAGCTCAAGTAATCTTCCTGTCTCTGCTTCCTGAGTAGCTGGGACTAACGAACAAACAAACCCCCACAAACTTGTTTACAGGTGTAATTTGTAATTTGAGGTATAAGACATTGTAATTGTCTTCCAGGGGTTATTTTCATATGCTTCTGGACCCATGAGGGCAGCAGCAAACCAGCCTCCTTCAATCTAATTTCAGGACTTGAGATTATCAGAAATCAATCTATAGTCCCTGAGGACCTGTCTACCTGCAGTTTGGCTTTGTTCTTAGGCTATGACCCTTCATGGTCTCAAATCAAAGGCATGTGCCACCACATCTGGCTCATTCATTTTGTTTTTTATTTTTTTTAGAGACGAGGTCCTGCTATGTTGCTCAGGCTGGTCTCAAACTCATGGCCTCAAGTGTTACTCCCACTTTGGCCTCCCAAAGTGCTGGGATTACAGGCACAAGCCACAGTGACTAGCTTATCTACTTATGCCTCTTACCTTTTCTTCTGACTTTTCTTTCTTTTATTATTTCATGCTTCATTCTTTCTGGATATTTTCTTCTGATCTGTCCTTTTTTAAACTAATTATCTCTCTATATCTATCAAAATGCTGTTAAACCCATTTATTAAGATTTTAGGGTGGGCATGGTGGCTCATGCCTGTAACCCCAGCACTTTGGGAGGCTGAGGTGGACAGATCCCCTGAGGTCAGGAATTTGAGACCAGCCTAGCCAAAATGGCAAAACCCTGTCTCTACTAAAAATCTAAAAGTTAGCCAGGCCTGGTGGCACATGCCTGTGGTCCCAGCTGCTGGGGAGGCTGAGGCAGGGGAATCGCTTGAACCTAGAAGGTGGAGCCTGCAATGAGCCGTGATCATGCCACTGCACTCCAGCCTGGGCAACAGAATGAGACTGTCTCAAAAACAAACAAATGAACAAACAAACCCCCACAAACTTGTTTACAGGTATAATTTGTAATTTGAGGCATAAGACATTGTAATTGTCTTCCAGGGGTTATTTTCATATGCTTCTGGACCCAGGAGGGCAGCAGCAAACCAGCCTCCTTCAATCTAATTTCAGGACTTGAGATTATCAGAAATCAATCTATAGTCCCTTGAGGACCTGTCTACCTGCAGTTCGGCTTTGTTCTTAGGCTATGACCCTTCATGGTCTCAAATCAAAGCACAAGAAAATGTATTAGGGCTTCCCCAGGAAGTCTGTGTCTCCTAGCATTGGAAAGATTGTCAAAAGCTCTGTTAAGTTTCTCAGCTTCTCAGCTGCCTTCTAACAAATCAAATGCCTGTAGACATAATTGCCTCTGCGATGTTCTCCTGCCTGGGTCTCCTCCCAGACTCTCTTGGATTCCTTGCCTAATATGTGTGTGTGTGTGCGCGCGTGCGTGTGTGTGTGTGTGTCTTCAGTGAAAGAGTTGGTCTGAATTATCTGATTTGCCCTTTTCAGAAGTAAAGTCCTATATATGACTTCTCACTAGTAATAACAGAAGTTTGGTTTTTTAAAAAAATAGTTAATCTGCTGGGTGCTGAGGTGGGTGAAACACCTGAGGTTGGGAGTTTGAGACCAGCCTGGCCAACATAGTGAAACCCTGTCTCTACAAAAATTGGCTGGACTCACTCCTGTAATCCCAGCACTTCGGGAGGCTGAGGCGGGCAGATCACTTGAGGTAAGGAGTTCAAGACGAGCCTGGCCAACATGGCAAAACCCCGTGCCTACTAAAAACACAAAAATTAGGCCACGCACGGTGGCTCAGGCCTGTAATCCCAGCACTTTGGGAGCCCGAGGGGGGTGGATCACGAGGTCAGGAGATCGAGACCATCTTGGCTAACACGGTGAAACACCATCTCTACTAAAAAATACAAAAAATTAGCTGGGCGTGGTGACGGGCACCTGTGGTCCCAGCTACTCGGGAGGCTGAGGCAGGAGAATGACTTGAACCCGGGAGGTGGAGGTTGCAGTGAGCCAAGATCGCGCCACTGCACTCCAGCCTGGGCGACAGAGCCAGACTCTGTCTCAAAAAAAAAAAACAAAAAAACACACACACACACACAAAAATTAGCCAGGCATGGGGGCACACACCTGTAGTCCCAGCTACTTGGGAGGTTGAGGCAGGACAATCGCTTGAACCTGGGAGGCGGAGCTTGCAGTAAGCTGAGATCGTGCCACTGCACTCTAACCTGGGCAACACAGCGAGAAAAAAAAAAAAATTAGTCAAGTGTGGTGGTGGGTGCCTATAATCCCAGGTACCGGGGAGGCTGAGGCAGGAGAATTGCTTGAACCTGGTAGGCGGAGGTTGCAGTGAGCCGAGATCAGGCCACTGCACTCCAGCTTGGGCAACACCGTGAGACTCTGTCTCAAAAAAAAAAAAAAAAAGTTAATCTGTAATTGTATCCCCAGCAAAACTATCTTTCAAGAATGAAGGTTATGTGTGATATGATAGCAGTCAAAATTTATAAACATGGAGAAATCTTGACAACATAATGTGAGTAAAAGAGTGAGTCATGAAATCATATACACAGTGTAATTCCATCTTTGTAAATAAACACATGCATGCATATGTAATAATATATTTGTCAATACCTGCAAATTTTAAGCCTTTAAAAAATATATTACATTTGGGTCATGGGTCCATGGATGTCAGTTCTAATATTTTCTCCATTTTAATGTTTGAAATATTTAACTTAAAATATAGTGTTGGTTTTTGTTTTGTTTTAGAGAAAACCTTGTAGCATATCAGTCAGCAACCACATGAACTACAGCTGGAACACATGATATAATGTGCTTATATTCAATTCTAAGGTTTGAAGAAATATTTTTAAAACTGTAACTCACAAGTCTGGCAATCTCTGGGTTGCTCAGTGGAAGGCCCCAGATGCAGATCTCTTTCGCCAGTGTGTAACACTCATCTTGAATTGTCATGAGCAAAGGTTCCAAGGAAACTGGTAGGATTCTTGGTGGGGAGTCATCAGATCTTACAAGCATAAACTGGAGTGTAAGAAAAAGACAGCATCTTTCTTCTCTCCTCTCCTCTCTTCTCCTTCCTTCCTTCCTTCCTTCCTTCCTTCCTTTATTCCTTCCCTCCCTCCTCCCTCTCACCTTCCTTCCTCCCTCCCTCCCTTTCTTCCTTTCCTCCTTCCTTCTGTCCTTCCTTCCCTCCTGCCTTCCCTCTTTCCTTCCTTCCTTCCCTCCCTCCTTCCTTCCCTCCTTCCTTCCTTCCCTCCCTCTTTCCTTCCCTCCTTCATTCCTTACCCCCTTCCTTCCTTCCCTCCCTCCTTCCTTCCTCCCTCCCCCTCCTTTCCTTCCTTCCTTCCTTTCTTCCTTCTTCCTTCTTTCCTTCCTTCTTTGTTCCCTCTCCTCCCCTCTCCTCTCTTCTCCTTCCTTCCTTTCTTCCTTCCCTCCCTCCCTCTTTCCTTCCTCCCTCCTTCCCTTCCTCCCTCCTTCCCTAACTCCTTCCTTCCCTCCTTCCTTCCTTCTTTCCTCCCTCCCTCTCTTCCTCTCTCCCCCTCCTTTCCTTCCTTCCTTTCTTCCCTCCTTCCTTCCTTCTTCCTTCTTCCTTCTTTCCTTCCTTCCTTGCTCCCTCCCTCCCCTCCCTTCCTCTCCCCTCCCTTCCCTTTTCCTCTCCTTCCTTCCTTTCTTCCTTTCCTCCCTTCCTCCCTCCCTCCTTCCTTCCTTCTTCCTTCTTTCCTTCCTTCTATGCTCCTTCCCCTCCCCTCCCCTCTTCTCTCCTCTCCTTTCTTCTCCTTCCTTCCTTCCTTTATTCCTTCCCTCCCTCCTCCCTCTTTCCCTCCTTCCTTCCTCCCTCCCTCCCTTCCTTCCCTCCTTCCTTCCCTCTTTTCTTCCCTCCTTCCTTCCCTCCCTCCTTCCTTCCTTCCCTCCATCCTTTCTCCCTCCCTCCTTCTCCCTCCCTTTCTTCCTTCCTTTCTTCCTTCTTCCTTCTTTCCTTCCTTCCTTGCTCCCTCCCCTCGCCTCTCCTCTCCTCTCTTCTCCTTCCTTCCTTCCTTTCTTCCTTCCTTCCCTCCCTCTCTCCTTCCTTCCTTCCTCTCTCGCTCCCTTCCTCCTTCCTTCCTTACCTCCTTCCTTCTCTCCTTCCTTCCTTCCTTCCCTCCTTCCTTCCTTCTTCCTTCCTTACCTCCTTCCTTCTCTCCTTCCTTCCTTCCTTCCCTCCTTCCTTCTCTCCTTCCTTCCTTCCCTCCTTCCTTCCTTCTTCCTTCTTTCCTTCCTTCCTTCCTTGCTCCCTCCCTCCCCTTCCTTCCTCCCTCCCTTCCTCCTTCCTTCCTTCCTTCCTTCCTTCCTTCCTTCCTTCCTTCCTTCTGAGTCTCACTCTGTCACCCAGACTGAAGTACAGTCGGGTGATCATAGCTCACTGCAGCCTCAAGCTCCCAGGCTCAAGCAACCCTCCTACCTCAGCCTACCAAGTAGCTGAGACTACAGGTGGGTGACACCACACTTGGCTAATTTTTTAATTTTTTGTAGAGACAAGTCTCACCATGTTGCCCAGGCTGGTCTCAAATTCCCAGCCTCAAGCAAACCTCCCACCTCAGCCTTCCAAAGTTCTGCAACTATAGGCCTGAGCCACCACACCCAGCCTCTTTTTTCTTCTTTAACAAAATAGAAAAGAAAGGAAATTGTCTGAGTGCCTCTTATGGAGTAAAAATAATAATGATTACCTCATGAGACTTTTATTTTAATGATATTCAAAATCATAATGGAGACCCCACCCAAGCAACCCACCCAACATAAACAGCCCTTATGGTGGTGCTGATGCAGGCTGACACTTACATATGGGGTCATGAGGTTAACTGGATTTCTGACAGTGACTGCAGTGAAACAAATAATTGAATATTGCTGAAGGAACTAGTTTGAACAAGTTATGATTAGCCCTTATAATTAAGTAGTGGAGGCTGATTATAAGAACTGCAGTTAAAAAAAAAGACTTACGAACAATTTTACCACAAAAGGGCTGGTTCTGGGAAGGTCGTCCATTGGGATGAGCAGGGAGAAAATTGCAGGGACCCCAGCTAAGACACTGTGACAGGAAGGATTAGAGAGACTGGGGGTGGATGAGGGAGGGCAGAGTGGAGGATGTGCTGGGTGGAAAGAGCCTTGGGAGGAGGAAAGGAGAGAGGGAGCAGCAGCTGGGGAACTGGAAGTTCAGAGTACAGAGGGAAGAGTTGGGGCCTGGCCCAGCTGTGTTTGGGGTGCCAGGCGCCCCCGTCTGGTCTGTCAGGTACCCGCTTCCCAAGTTACCCATTTCATCTCGGTGCTGACCTCTCCTCTCCTCTTTCCCCCTCACATCCAAGCCCTAGATTTAATCTCAGAAAAGATATGACATCAGAATATTTTCTGAAACCCAGTGCTTTTGGAGTCAGAATTCTGATTGCTGGTCTTACTCCAAGTGAGCTGGCCTCAGGAGGGGAGGCGCGGGCAAGAGCAGGTCTGACCTCACGGCAGGGACGCATCAGCAGCCAAGAGAAGGAGGCCCTCACTTGGAGGGGTCAGTGGGGGGTGGCTGGAGCGCCGGGAGCAGAGGTCCTGCAGTGATAACCAAAGTGCTGACTTTCAAGCTGGGCTTTCCAGATGTGGAGGAGGGCCGGTGGTCCTTCCAGGAAAGTGGTGTGAGAACAGGCCCGCTGGAAGGGATGGGAGGGGCAGCCGTGGAGGTCAAAGGGGGAAGGGAGGAGAAGGGCTGAGCAGGCAAGCCAGGCTTTGGACTCCACTCAGTCAGGAATGCAGAGCGGGTGACACAGCCAGCTCTGGGTTTGCAAGTGAAACCACCTTTGCAAAAATTATAGCTGAGAAAATTATGACAGTGAAAGAAATCTGACCTGACCAACTCCTTCTTGCTTTTAACCTTCAAACTGTCCTTGCTCATTCCTGGGCACAGGCCAGACTAACTTGGGGAGGAACTTAGTTTATTTTAATAGATTAACTTTGAAACAAAGACAATAACAACCCTTTCCCAAAACAAACCCCTTCTTGACTAGGGACTAGACTGTCTTTGCAGGACTAACAAATTAGCCACAAGATTAGAAATTATGGTTTAGGAGTCACTGTTGTAAAACCTGAGCTCGCTGCTTGAGATAGTTTGCAGGCCCTGTGTTCCAAAGCACCAGCTGGTGCCACTCAGATGGATAAGCTGGCTCATCTGGTCTTGTGGACCCTACCCAGGAGCTGACTCAGTGCAAGAGGACAGCTTCAACTCCCTATGATTTCATCTTCAACCCGACAGATCAGCATTCCCCACTTTGTGACCCCCTCCCTACCCACCAAGTTACCCTTAAAAACCTCAATCCTGATTTTCGGAGAGACTGATTTGAGTAATAACTTCGTCTTTTGCGTGGCGTGGCTGGCCTGGTGTCAGTCAAACTCTTTTTTTACTACAATGCTGTGGTCTTTATTTGTGCGGCGGGCAGGAAGAACCCCTTGGGAGGTTACACAAGGACTGAGGACCCATGTGGCTTGGGAGTAAACCCTAGCCAGTTCATTTTAGAGAAGAATAAGAAAACAAGACCATACACTCACCTTCCTGAGCACCTGGTCACTGTCAATGCTGCTTTTCAGGTCACTTTTGATGGCTGGACACACAGACGTCTGAGACTGCGCACAGTGCTTCTCATACGTTTTCAGAAACTTTTGAAGAATCAAAACGATGGGCAGGGGAGTCCGTTTAGATTTGTGTTTTCCTTCATTTGCTCTTGGCATTGTTTTATAGTGTTAGATTTCTCTTGGATTCTGAAAACAGTAACTTGAAACCCAACATATAGGTGTCTTTTTAAGGAGCAGAACATACTTCATCCACTAAAAACATTAGGAAAATATTGCTGCATAATCTTCTCTGAAAATCTTGAAGTGCTTCATTTATCTTAAAATGGGACTAGGAGTCAAAATGGAGACCACTGGAAGGAATTGTTCAATTTCCAATTTCTCTATTCATGGGTCCATGTCGTTCTTTTAGATTCTTCAAAATAGGGGTAATAGCCGCTGGAACTCAGTTATAAAGGAATGCAATTAACATTAATACTGGTTACTAAAAATTCCCAAGAACATACTGATTTTTAAATGGCATAGTTCCCTTTACAGACACAATTCTTGCCAGACAGTAATATATCATGGTGGTTAAGAACGTGGACTTTGGAGATTACTGGGTCTGGACTTTAGTCTTGTCTCTACCACTTAACCCACTGGGTAGCCTTAGATAAATTATGAAGCCTCTTCAAGTTTCCATTTCCCTATCTGTAAAATGGATTATGAGCCACAGTGATGTTTTTGAAATGTAAATCAGGTCATATGACTCTTCTGCTTAAATCTCTACAGAGGTTTCCCACTACGTTTATCTCTACTGAATTTATTATATGCTTTTTCTACCAGCTATTGAGAGAGGTATACGAATGTGAATTCATCTATCTCTGCTGTTAATTCTGCCAACATTTGTTTTATGTATTTTGAAGCTATGTTATTAGGTGTCTATACATTTGGAACTGATATATCTTCCTGAGGAGCTAACTCTTTTGTTATTATTTAATATTCCTGTTTATCTCTAGTAATCCTTTACACTTTCAAGCCATGGTTCCCATACTGCACTGAGGTGCTTCGGGGCACTGCCCTAGATTTACAGGGCACTATAGAATAATTTAAATTTCAAGAGAAAGCCAGCAACATCTGTTAGATGCTATGTGAATTATTAGCTGGAAGTATTTTACAATTTCAAATTAGATCACACTTGTGTTAGTATCCTATTTTTACATAGCAAACGATCCCATCACGGGTGAAGAGCATTCTGGAAAGACGAATGAACCCAGTAGAATGTAGACATCCAGATACTAGGGTAAGGGAAAATCACAATATCATAGTTCTGGTTGGGACTTCACAGATTGTCTAACCCAGGACGTTGAGTGCTAAAACCAGAAAAGCGCTAGGCAAACCAGGATCACTGTTAACTCTAGCAGTCCTCCTCCACTCATGGCCATCTCCCAGGTGTCCTCTCAGAAGTCTGTGCTCCAGTCTGCTGCCGCAGAGCAACCAGACTTGGCAGCTACAGAAAACTGTTTCTTGGGCGAGGTCAACCTTTTTTTCTTTCTTTTTTTTTTTTTTTTTTTTGGGTGGTGAGTGGCACACAGGCGCCACTGTAACCTTGATCTTTGGCTAAGGAAAGAAGGAGGACTTACTTCGGCGAAAACAGGAACTTGGTCTCCTGGATCCCAGGACTATTTAGGATAAATGCATGGACCTTAAGGGAGCGCACGCAGATGGCTGACCGGATGGCCCGCGAAGTCTCTTTTTTTTTTTTTTTTTTGACGGGTTCTCGGCTTGGCGCCCTCATCCTGGTGCGTGGCGCGGTTCGGGCTCACTGCAAGCTCGCGCTTCCGGGTTCCGCCTTCCCTTGCTCCGCCTCGCGAGTAGCTGGACTACAGGCGGCCCGGCAGCCCGGCCCGGCTAATTTTTTTTTTTTTTTGGTATTTTGTAGGAGGATGGGTTTTCAGCCTGTGTTCCTGAGTCAGTGGGTCTATTTCGTTGCTTGGTGACTCCACCGTTCGGTAGCGCCCTCCAAGGTTGCTTGGGATTACAGGTGTGAGCCACCGCGCCCGGCCCCGGCCCCAGTCTCTACTAAAAATACAAAAAATTAGCCGGGCGTGGTGGCACACGCCTGTAATCCCAGCTACTCCGGAGCCTGAGGCAGGAGAATCGCTTGGACCTGGGAGGTGGAGATTGCAGTGAGAAGAGATGTCATCACTGCACTCCAGCCTGGGCGAAAGAGCAAGACTCCGTCTCAAACAACAACAACAACAACAACAACAACAACAACAACAACACAAAAAGCACTCAGAGAAATAGTGACACCCCCACTGCAGGCCAAGAGGAGTGGCCTCCGAATGAAACCCACCTCAATGGCAGCTTGATCTCAGACTTCCAGTCTCCAGAACTGTAAGAAAATTCTGTGGATTAAAACCAGCCGATCTATGGTATTTCGTCATGGCAGCCCAAGATAAGACAGGTAGTATACAGTATTACTGCTCACATTATGGAATATTCCTCACCAACATTTAAAATATTTACAGATGCACAAACTACCCACATAGATTCTGCAAATGCTCTAACAAGACACTTTTGAATCTTGAGTTTTTCACTTAATGTTGTATCACAAGAATTTGTCATTTTTATATAGAGTAAATGCTCAGGTTAGCAAATATCTAGGCACTTCAAAGCCAGCATTGATTGAATCATCAATGACTATTCATTGAAGGTCTAAGGTGTATGTGTCCTGCCCTGTGCTAAGTTTTACTTATCTTTTCTGAAAGTGACTCTCCCTCCCCAGTGTCCTGGAAATGGGACAGTGTGGGTGCCGGAGGAGGGGCTGAGAGTGGGGGCGGCTGGACTCTGCCCTCTGTCCCGAGGGGATGCGGAGGGCCCTGCTCTGGGTCCCTTGCCCGCCCAGCTTGGACGGCTCGTGGTTCCCGCTCGGAGTCCCAGGGGACATGGAGACGGCCTGCAAGGAGGGGCCGCTTTGCGCTCCCTCTCCAAGGCTCCCGTGCTTTTGATATATTTTCCTAGAGAATCCTAGCTGCCCACCCCGAGGTCGAGGCCGGGAAAAGCCCAGCTGCGTGCACTGTTCCCCGCCCCCGCCCTGGGGCTGTGCGGGTGGGTAGGGGAGGTGCGCCTTTGGAGAGAGTAGGGAGCTGCGGGCATCCCGGCCTCCCTGGAGCCTCGCTCCCGGGATCGAGCATTTCTCCCGGGGTCGCACAGTTCTCGGGGCTGGGGCAACCTCCTCCGGCCCCTGTCCGCCCCACCGGGCGCCCACACTCACTCGCGCTCACTCTCCCTGCGTCCCGGGCAGGCTGCCCGCGTGGCGTCCCGTGCCCTGGCAACAAGGGGCGGAGGCTGGAGGGACCGTGGCCACCCAGGGCGCCGGCGCTGGGGAGATAGCGGGAGCTGGAGGAGGAGGCAGGTGGCGGCAGGAAGCAGTGCCGGGGCTCGTCGGAGCTCAGGCTCGGGCTTGGATTTGGAGAAATTGAGAAAACCTGGTGTCCTCGCTGCAGATCAAGCTTGTCGCAGCCAACATCGCTGCGAGTGACGCTGCCTGGCAGGGAATAGGGGAAGTTGGGGAAGGCAGACCGGCGTCCCTGTTCATCAGTGGGGAATCTGGGGGAGACAGGGGCCTCCGAAGCGTGGACGCTCCAGACTGTTGCCGTCGCTCCCAAGGCCGCGGTGGACCAGCCCTGGAGCCGCCAACCGATTTCCCAGGGAGTTCCGTCCGCGCATCACCCAGCAGCAGCTGCAGGCGCCTGGGACTCGCTCGCGGTCCCGCCCAGTCCTCTCCTGCCCACTAGAGGGGCTTCGTGGAGCGGCTGCTTCCCGCTCCCAATCCCAGGAGAAAAGGGGCGCAGGGATAAAGGCAGAGGCTCAGGGACTAGACCTGTGTAGGATTTTTTCTGGGGAATATTAAGGAGAAAGGCGCAAAACAGATGAAGCTTTCAGTACTGGACGGGGAGGAAAAAGGATTTTTAAGAAGCTTTGCTGGCGGGGTGCAGTGGCTCACGTTTGTAATCCCAGCACTTTGGGAGGCCGAGGTGGGCAGATCACCTGAGGTCGGGAGTCCGAGACCAGCCTGGCCAACACAGTGAAACCCTGTCTCTACTAAAAATACAAAAATTAGCTGGGCGTGGTGGCAGATGCCTGTAATCCCAGCTGCTCTGAAGGCTGAGGTAGGAGAATCATTTGAACCTGAGGCAGAGGTTGTAGTGAGCCAAGATCGCGCCACTGCACTCCAGCCTGGGTGACAGACACTCTGTCAAAAAACAAACAAACAAACAAAACAAAACAAAAAAAACAAAAAAAAACCACTTGCTTCGGGCAGTAGTTTGGGGGCGTAGAAAGGAAGGATTGGGAGGATGTAGTAGGCAGAATAGAGTCCCCCGAAGATATGCATGCCCTAATCCTGGGAACTTGTGGATATGTTACCTTACATGGCAAAAGCGACTTTGCACAAGATTAAAGTTACGGACCTCGAAGCAGGGTACAGGCTGAGGGGAACGGTTATCCGTGATTACCCAGGTGGGCCCTATCTAATCACAAGAGTCTGCGAATGTGACATTGAGAACCTTTTAGGTTGGGTCAGAGAGAGATAAGGAAGATCAGAGAGAGAGAGAGAGAGATGCAATGAGAAGGATTGTACGCACTGTTGAAGCCTTTAATGGGGGAGGTAAGGAGACTTAAGGAAGTTGGGCAGCCTCTAGAAGCTGGAAAGCGGAGAAAGGACTCTCCCCAAAGCCTCCGTGAGGAAACACAGCCCTGCCGCCTCCTTGATTTCAGTCCAGTGAGAGTTTTGTGGGATTTCCGCCCTCCATATCTGGCACCTAAGTTATCTGTCTCTATCTTAGGATATAGAATAGGTGCCTAATGCATACTCGCTTAATGGGAAAAAAAGTGAATAAAAATAACAGTTGGATTAAACAAATTCACAGTAAACTGCGAATGGAAAGTAACCCCTTCATTCCGGTAGGGCTGGCTGTAGTTTTCTAAGCGTATATTTTAAGCCCAATTGGCTCTAACGGGAGGAAGTCTGGGCTCACAGTGAAGTCAGGAGGGTCAAGGAGGGGCAGGAGGGATCCTGAATTTGGTCCAACATGACTTTCCTGTGAATGTGCCTTCAGGAGTCTGTGCCCCTCTGTTTTTTTTGTTTTGTTTTGTTTTGTTTTGTTTTGTTTTGTTTTTTGCCTCTTCTCTTCCTGTCTCTGTTGGAACTTAGAGCTTTACTCAAAGGGTCCTATTTTGTGCATGACTATTTTGGCCTTCCTAAGACAAAAAGCAGGCGAGGGCAGTGAGGGAGGAGAGCTCCAGAGTGGGCAAGAGGGCATCTGCAGGGCACCCACTGGGACTCAGGGCAGATGCTTAGGGAGCAGAGGAATGGTCAGGAAGGCCAGAGCCGGAGGACAGGGACAGTGAGGGGCAGAAGCTAGACAGCCCATCAGAGCTGAGATGAAGGGTCCTTTGTGTGCAATGTGGGCAGGTTCTTAAAGGAACCGTGTCACTAAGATTTGGTTCAGCTGCTAGTGACAGAAACCCAGTTACACAGTTGAAACAACACAGAAACCCAGTTACACAGTTGAAACAATACAATACACTTCCCTTTCATGTAAATGAAGTTCAGGAGTGAGCAGTCCAGAGCTACTGCAGAAGCTCCAGGATTATAAAGAACCGAAGCAACTTTTACTTTATTACTCCTCCATCCTTGGTGTGTGATTTCTACCTGATGGCCCAGAATGGTTGTTGAACTCCAGCCATTTTGTCCCAAATTCAGGAAAGACAGCTGGACAAAGAAGGGCACATTCTCTGTCTTTAAGGATATCTTCCAGAAACTGCACTTGACACTTGTGCTTACATCCCCCTAGATTAGGGACATGACCATACATGATCATACCTAGCTGCAGAGGATGCTGGGAAATGTAGTCTTTATTATAGGCAGCCATGTGCCCACCTGAAAATGGGAGCTTTTGTTACTTACAGAAGAAGGGAAAGACAGATATTGGGAGATAACTAGCACCCTGAGCCACAGCAGCTGGTAGCTGCCAGGGCCACAGCAATGGCAGGTGCAGTGGTGAGATAGTTGCGTTTATCAGTACTGACACAGGATTTTTCTCGGCCACTTTGCCAGCTGGGGACCTCCTTACCCAGCAATGCCCCCACCTGCCTCCCAGGTCTCACTTGCCCGCAGCCTGCTGCTGGAGGCACCCCACCATAACTTGGCCTGCCTGTGTTATGTCTTGTACCTGCGTTCAGTGGTTTCCGAGCTCTTGTCCCACATCTAAGAAGAATGAAGATACAGGGACAATTCAAAGAGTGAAGAGGGTGGAGAAGAATTTTATTAAGCCACAGAACAGCTCTCAGCAGAGAAGGGATGCGGGGGTGGTCCCCCATCCCAGCAGTTGGGTGGGTTGCTCTCCCAAAGTGACTGAATCAGGGCTTTTATGGATTCAGAATGGCAAGTGCGTGCTGATTGGTTTGTGAGTATGCAAAAAAGTTTAAAGCGAAGATACCACTCAAAGGTGGGCACAACACTGT